GTGCTCTTGCCCAAGATTAACGCCTAACTGTGGAATACAATCAGCTCAATGGCACCTGACCACAGCAACGCTAGAAACACCATATGGTCCTAAATTTAAAGTAACATTGCCACTTGGTGGTCAAACTCTTGGACTTTTGAATTCTCCAGTCTTGATTTACTAGCCTCTTAAGGACTATTCCTTGGAAAGGAACATCATGCTTGGAAAGTTAGAGGATCAGCAAAAGAGAGGACGACCCTCAATGAAGTGGATTATTGACACAGTGACTGCAGAAATGGGCTCAAGTATGTCAAGAGATGATGAGGATGGCACAGGATAAGACAGTGTTTAGATCTGTTGCTCAAAAGATTACTATGGTTAAGACTGGTGGTAGAAACTATGCTGCAATCCCAAAAGCTTGTAGTTCAAATCCACTGACATCTCTATGTGCAATCTCCTGCCATGTGATTTACTGCCTCTGAAAACCCACTGGAGGGTCAGCTATGGATCAGTTTCAACTCAAGGGCACAAAACAACTAAAAGTGTTAGATGCTCAACTCCATGACAGTGGGTTCAGTGCTAGATGAAAGGAGCCTTGGTAGTGTGGTCTTTGAAGTACTTGGCTGCCAGCCACCAGAAACATAAGACATCCGCTTCTGTAAGGTTTGTTGTTGCTGTATATTGTTGAGTTGTAACCGACCTACAGCTTACCCTTCACCAGGTTTTCAGAGATAGTTAATGGCATGGGAGGAAATTGCTCATCATTCTCCCACAAGCAATTGATGGATTCAAACCACACTTCCTTGAGTTGCCAGTGCAACTCCTTACCACTAAGCCACCAGCCTTGGAAATGTTATTAGTAGTTCTAGTCTATCCTATAGGGTTGCTATGAGTTGGAATTGATTTAATGGTAGAGACTGATTTTTGTTGTTGTTACTGCTAGATGAATAAGCCCTGTGGGTACACCAGTTAAGCGCTAGTTAAAAGATTAAAACCCACCCACATGTATGTTGGAAACAGACCTAGTGATCTGCTTCCAAAAGTGAGGGCCTTATTTCTACTAAGCATATAAAAGGTCTGTTGTTGTTGTTGTTAAGTGCCATCAAGTCGTAAACGACTCATAGTGATCCTATGAACAAAAGACCTAAACACTTGTATAACTTTCATCATTTCTCCAAGTTCATAGGGTTTCCAGAGGCAAGCTATTTCAGAAGTGGATGCCACTCCTGCTTCCAAGCTTGTTTTAATCGGGAAGCTCCACCAAACACTGTCCGTCATGCGTCACCATTATCGCATTTGACACATCAGTGTCACAGTGGTCAGCTTCACAGCAACCACAAGTTACCTCTGTATAGCAAATGAACAAACCAGTGTTATGCCACTTAGAAGAATGTTAGACCAAATACAATTAAAACTAGGCCTGAGGCCCACAGACTAAAATCACCCACCTCTGGCTTGGTAGCATCACTTTCTGTCCACAAGGCTAACTGAGCTCTCTAGTTGTTGTTGTTGTTGTTATGAAGTGCCATTGAGTCATAGACGACTCATAACAACCCTTCTACTTAAGTAAAAACTCACTGGGTGGTGACTAACAATACTGGGTGGTGAAAACAAATAACATATTTGACTGCTTACCAAAAGGATAGCTGTTCAGGTCCATCCAGACATGCTACAGGAGAAAGAGTTGGCAGTCTGCTTCTGAAGAGTCAGCCATTGCAAACCCTGTGGAGCACATTTGTGCTCTCACACACACAGGTACACCATACATAAAAACCAGCTTACTGGCCACTGTTAGCCTAAGTATATTTTGAAAGTCATTTTAAACTTATAAATCATTGCTAGAATTCTCCCATCCTTGTCAAAAATATATCTATTATATGTAAACTATATGTCATACTATTTTGGGTGCTGGGGGTACAGCAGCCAACAAATAAAGGAAGGCCCATGATTTTACAGAATGTATTTATGCAGGGTAACTACTAAAAACAAATAAAGAAAATTTCAGATGGAGCTAGTCTGTGAAGATACTAAAGTAAGATACTAGAAATAGAAAGATTTCTCTCCAAAGATCAAAAGCTGGGCTGAGCCTGGAGTGATATGAGGTTTGCCTAGTGAAAGAAGCAGTGTAAAGCTAATGCCAGTATCAGAGGGGTGCATTTGAGAGACAGGAGGAAGATGGGGTGGAAAGCATGGAGAATGAATGAAGAGAAAGAGTGAGGGGAAGGTAGATAACGAGAGAGGGGTTCATTGAAGGAAGGATCGGAGGATAAGAGGAGGGGAAATAGTGGAGGGAAGTGACATCAGGTGAGCTCAGAGAGAGCAGAGCAGTGCATGATCATGGGAACTAATACCCATAATTAAACCACTGAATATGTTCCAATAACTGTGGCTAACCTTGAGGAAAATGGGAATACCAGCAGACTTGGCTGTGCTCATGTGAAACCTATACTCAGACCAGAAAGCAGTCCTCAGAACAGAGCAAGTGAGTGCCTCAGGGATGTGTCCTATCTCCATACCTTTTGAATCTGTATCCAGAACAGATCACTCAGGAAGCTGGGCTTTATGAGCAGAAATGTGGCATCAGGATTGGAGTAAGATTAATCAATAATGTACATTATGCAGATGATACAACCTTACTTGCTGAAACTGAGGACCTGAAGCACTTGCTACAGAAGGTCAAGGACTATAGTCTCCAATATGAATTAAAGCTCAACTTCAAGAAAATTAAGATTCTCACCACTTGGGTCAATTGACAGCACTGTTATAGATGGAAAAGAGATTGAGATTGTTAACAGCTTCAGTTTGCTTGGCTCCACAATCAACACTCTTGGCACCACTAGTCACGAAATCAAAAGATGAATGGCACTGGGAAAATCTGCAGTCAGGGACCTCTGCAGAGTACTGAGAAGTAATGATGACAGTCTAGAGACTAAGGTGTGCCCAATCCAGGCCATGGTCTTTGCAATTACTTGCTATGCATCAGAGAGCTGGACAATGACTAAGGATGACAGAAGAAGAATTAATGCCTTTGAGTTGTGGTGCTGGAGAATAGGCTCTTTTTTTGGTTTGTTTTTTTTTATAATAATTTATTGTGTGGTGATATGTTGAAATGGGCTCACAGTTGCTTGTAAAGCAGATTGTTAAATTTTCAGAAATTCTGCAAACCCAGCTAATGTTAATCTGTGAGTAGCTTGATTGACAGTGTCTGATACAATGGTAGAATGGTGTGGACAGTGCTAGACAGGACAGGGCAACTTGCCAGCACCCTTAGAGACACACTCCTTTTGGCCCTCACATCCAAGCCATCCTCTCTCCCAGATATCTACAAAATAGTCTGTTTGGAACTGGAGGATTCTGTGTCATGGGAATTTCATTTAATTGCTTGTTGTTGTTCAGCAGCCATTGAATGAAGGGTCCTGCACATGGGCTGCATGTCTACCTCATAGGGCTAGAATAAATCAAGGAAAGCACCAACGCACATTGTGGCAGATTATTATTACTATTGCCATTGTTATTCTTCTCCATAGAGCTAATTCATGCTCCAGGCCACCTTCTCGATCCCAAGAGAGTCTCCCTTCCTTGGAGAAGAGTCTTGAACATACCATGAACCACCTAGAGAGCAAATAAGTCTTTCTTAGACAGGGTGAAGCCAAGTTTCTCCTTGGATGCTAGGATTTTGAAGCTCCATCTTAACATACTTTGGGCATGTGGCCAGGAGAGACTGGTCCTTGGAGAGGAGGACATCAGGCTCAGAATAGTGGAGGGACAGGGCAGGAGAGGAAGACCCCAGATGAGATAGATTGATATAGTGACTAGGGTAATGGGGGGTAGGTATGTCAGAGTGAAACTGGCTCAGGACAGGGCAGGCTTCAGAGCTGTTGTACATACGGTCACTATGAATCACAGGCAACTTGACAGCATATAACAACAACAGGTTCAAACTTGTAGTACCCTATAGGACAGAGTAGAACTGCACTCTAGGGTTTCCCAGGCTATAATTCTTTATGGAAACCGACTGTCACATCTTTCCTACAGAGCAGCTGGTGGGTTCCAACCCCAGACCTCTCAAGTTACCACAGTACTGCCATGGCTCCTTGGAAGCCTGCTAGGGCATTGGTAATGAGTCTGGATTTGATCCAGAGATTTTTTGAAGTGTTTCAAGTGACAGAACTGGGATATTCTGATTTATATTTGTGAAGTTCATCTGGCTTCTCAGTAGAGAATGGATTGTATTAGTCCAAGAGGGGCACCAGGAAACCCTCTGTTGAGAGTGTCTAAGAGGTCTAGGTAAGATAGATGATGGTGACTGGACTAAGGTAGTAGTAGTTGGAGTGGATAGAGGCAAAAGGATTAGAAATTTCTTTTTGAATTTTTATTTTGGAATTCAAGCTAGCCTGTGCATACAAGTGATCCTGATGATGCAATGAGTTAAGTGTTAGACTGCCTATGATTTGAATTCGCCGGGAGAAAAATGTGTGCTTCAGTAAAGAATTGTTGTTTGGTACCATCAGCTTGACCACCACTCACAGCAACGCTGTGAACAACAGATCTGAACCTTGCCACCCTGCAGCATCCTTATGATCTCTGATATGCTCGGACCCATTGTTACAGTCACAGTGAGGAATGACAGCCTTGGAAGCACTAGGGGCGATTGTCTTCTGGCATTGCTGTGAGATGGAATCAACTGGATAACAGTGGTCTCATTTTGGTTAATGCTGTGGTTCTGTTGGTGAAAAGAGAGCAGTGAAAGAGGACGCCAGACATTTAAGAAGATGCCACTACTTTATTCCATATTTTCCAAACAACTGGATGTACAAATACTTTGGGAAAAGGATTTATCAAATTCTCATCATTGTTGTCAATTTTCTGAGGCTGTAAATCGCAAGGGAGGAGCTTGCCCCTTTTCTCCCAAAGAGCTGCCGTGGTGGATTCTAATTGCCAGAGAGGTGCAGCCTTTGAGATAGCAGCTGAAGCCCCTCTGGACTACACCACAGTAATGTCATTGTGTCTCATTGCCTCAGAGAGTGCAGCGCAGCTCGGAAATCCTCCAAGACCTCACTCACAGGAACATCTCTGACTTCTTGGTAAAGACATATCCTGCTCTTATAAGAAGCAGGTAAGGAGACCTTTTCATATGTTTTATTCCCACTACCTGTAGAAAACATTGGCTAAGGATAGAAGATAGTTTGATGAGTTACTGTCTATGACCAGGGCAATGGACTTTTTTTGCTTCAGTTTGAGGGTCTCATATAATAGAAAAAGCAATTAAGACATACAAAAGTGAAATATCATTTAAGATTAATTTTGTTTGCTATTTAAGGCAAGTAGCCTCAAAGTTTAACTCATGTACTTTTAAAAGTGAAAGCAGAGAACATGGGATTTATTCAGTAACACTGCCTTGTAGTTAATCAGTTAAGAAGTGACACAGTTTGAAGGAGGAGGAAGCATAAAGGGGAAAGAATAGAGAAAGTAAAGATAAAAGTAAGCAAAAAAAGAGAGGGGGAAATTAGAAAAGGAGCAAGAGAGAAGAGGAAGTAGCATTACAGTGTGCGCACAGGCAGATTGGTTACTTTCATCACACTCTGTATAATTTGTCATCGGTTATTACTGACCATTAAATTTCCAAATTGTCCAAAATTGATAACTAGTCATTTTTAGGGGTGATCAGGAAGGAGGGAGAAGAAAGGGGTCCTGAGCTTCTGTTAAGGGTGAAGAGAAAGTTGGGAAGCTTTTGTGGTGATGGTCACCCAACATGGTGAATGTAATTAATATCATAGGTTGCATATGTTCCATGACAATGGCAAATATTTTTGTTACATACACTCAGAGAGAGAGATATGTATGCATTTAAAAATTCTATTTGGGCAGTATCTGACAGCATATACATCTGTGGTCCCAGAACATGTACTTCTTTGAAAGGGAAATTGGCTCTTCTTTTATTGTTTTCCTTTCTGGTGGCGTACTGATAATGAATCGTGCAAAGGTTCACAGTTCAAATCCACCAGCTGCTCCAAGGGAGAAAGATGGGCAGTCTCCTCTCATGCAATTTACTGCTCTGAAAACCTGCTGGAAGGTCAGCTATGGGTGGGTAGGATACAGGAAGGTGAAGCAGAGGCCGTGGCTCTTGGGCTTTGTCCAGTGGGCAAGCAGATGGCAGTGGTAGCTACATGGCCCAGGCTAGTCCTGCTGCTCAGATGGCCAGAACAGCAGGTGGGGCCGGGCACACTGCGGTCCCTCCTTGTGGCTCTTACTCCACTCCTGCCACTGCTCTGTCAACTGCAGCTGCTACCACTGCCCATTCCTCCGGCCTCACCAACAGCTTCAGCAGCAGCAATAAAGTTAACCAAAAGCAAGCTTCCAAAAGGTTTTAGTGTGGTGTTTGCACAATGGCCAAATCACCTAAGAACCTATTTTACACAGCATATTGTAGACATTAGGCAACCCATATGTGTACTTACGACCGGATTATTGTGCTTATGTTGTCAAGTTGATTCCAACATATAACAATCCTATGTGACAAAATAGAATGGCCCCATAAGGTTTTCTATGTTATAATTGTTTCAGAGCATTCTCTGTAGAGGTGCTGGGTGGATTCAAACTGCCAGCTTTTCCGTTTATAGCCAAGTGTTTAACCATTGTATCACCAGCACTCTTTTTATCTTATTACAATTTTTTTAAACTCCAGTAAACTCCTAAATTAGTATCTACTAAGTGATGAGCATAGCAGAGGCCAGGGAGGGTTTCAGATCAGTTGTTTACAGGGTCACTGTCTCAGTCAACTCAACAGCACCTAACAACAACAACAACAACACCCTAGTGGTAAATTGTGTAGCCAACCCAAAGGCAGGTGTTCTGGATCCACCAGCCACTACTCAGGAGACAGATGAGCAATGTGTTTCATTGACTCTGATTACCTTCTGGAGGGCCAGCTATGACTCCATAGCATATAACAATGGGACATTCCTTTTCAGCTGTTCTTATCAAGCCCCATCCCTGAATGGACTGGTTTCAGCAGCCCCCTATCAGAACTAGTGGTTTGATAAAAGTGCTCCCAAGAGAAGCTGGTGGGGAACAGCAAGCCATGTTCATGGGCTTTAAGAAACACATACTGTCTAGTATCAGCATGACTTTCTGTTGCTTCCGCCACTAGGGCCCTGAACTGAATCCAGTAACTGGAAGCAGCCTCTGAAAAGGCAGTGCCAACTCACAAGTTAGTAAAACAAAGCATAACACCCAAGCATAAACTAAAACAACAAAAAATTAAAACACCTTGCATTAAAAAAAAGGCAGAGCACAAAATGTTTATCTAATTCTGTAAAAATACAACCATCCCAAACTTTTCAGCTATAAATTTGCTCTCTGTAAGCTTGGATTTTGTGCTTGATGACTGATGACCAAGAGAGTTCACAGTCTTGGACTCTGGATTCTACAGTTGACATATTTTCCAATTTTGTAATGTTCCACCACCAGCACCAGCACCACCACCTACACCACTACCACCGTCATACATACGGGCTAGAAACGAGTCTCCTACTTGGGTTGGTAGAGTAATTCGCTAATTCCCCCACGTATTATTGGAATCTCATTTGGAGAGGGGAGAAGAGCAGCAGCCTTTACTCTACACAACCATGGCAATTGGCATGTTTCCTGGGTCCATGTGGGTCCACTCATCTAACACATATGCTGAAAACGTGCTAGACCTGGAGAGCCAAAGGTGGAAATATCCATCCTTCCTCCACATGTGTTCACATCCACCACATAGGCTGGGAGATCTCCACATTAACTTGATAGCAGAAAATACAAAAACATCCTCTGGAGACAAACACTCTCAGAGAGATTTGAGAGAAGCAAACTAACACTCCTGGTGTCCTGGTTGTATTCATTGTAATAATTTTTTTTTTAATGTTTTTACTTACAGCTTGAAGAGCAAGTTCTGGGTCAATGAGCAAAGGTAAGAAACTACTTGTTGTTTGTTGTTGATGTTGTTATGTGCCATCGAGTCGCTTGCTACTCATAGCGACCCTATGTACAACAGCCCTAAACTCTGCTCTGTCCTGTGCCAATTGCACCATCTCTGATAAACCCACCCTGATTACCCCAGTCACTTAATCAATCCACCTCATAGAGGGCCTTCTCCTCCTGCACCGTCCCTCCACCCTCCCAAGTATGATGTCCTTCTCCAAGGACTGGTCCCGCCTTACAACATGTCCAAAGTATGTCAGACGAAGCCTCAGGATCCTTGCCTCCAAGGAGCAGTCTGGTTTAACCCTCTCCTGGTTGAATTCATTTGTTTTCTTAGCAGTCCATGGTACCCTCAATACTCTTCTCCAGCACCACAGCTCAAAGGCATCAGTTCTCCTTCTATCCTTCCTAGTCGTTGTCCAACTCTCTGATGCATAACAAGAGATTGCAAAGACCATGGCGTGTATCAGATGCACCTTAATCTCCAGAGAGACACCATTGCTCTTCAGTACTTTGCAGAAGTCCCGAACAGCAGGCTTTCCCATTGTAATATGTCTTTTAATTTCCTGGCTGCTGGTGCCAAAAATGTTGACAGTGGAGGCAAGCAAACTAAAGCTGTGAACAGTCTCAATCTCTTCATCATCCATCCTGATGCTACCAATTGGTCCAGTGATGAGAATCTTTGTCTTCTTGATATTGAGCCTCAATCCATATTGAAGGCTGCAGTCCTTGACCCTCTGCAGCAAGCGCTTCAGGTTCTCCTCAGAAACTACATACATAAAAAATATTAAGAGCTCAGATTGATCCATTTAAAATAACTACATATAAATAAACCACAACCCAAAGTTATGTGAACAGGTGTTCTGTGTGTGCTCAAGATAGGTGGCAGGGGACACCCTGGACTCACACCACCTATTCACTCGTGGATCTCACTGGAAGATATTGTAGGACATTATATTCTCTAAAGAAAAGACCCAGAGCTCACCCAAAGGGAGGTTCTAAAACTTCTTAGCATATCTTGTTGAGAATGCTCCAGTGAGGGCTCTCATAACCCAAGCCTTAGACACTCTTTTGCCCAATCCTTCTGGGCCTGCCAGGATCTGTTCCAGCCTGCCTCACCACCTTCCTGAGAAATTGTGGATGCTCAAGTGGTTCCAAAAGTTTAGAGAATCCCCAAGGGATAGTCTTAAGAGTGATCCAACCTTCCACAGGAACTGGACCTCAAGAAGTGTCAGATTACTCAATTGTTGTTAGACACCATCAATTTGAATGCTCATAGTGACCCTATGAACAGCTGACCTGAACCCTAACCTGTCCTGTGCCATCCTCACCATCTCTGACACTCGAGAGCCCATTGCTTAAGTAACCATGTCAATCCATCTTGCTGGGGATCCTCTTCATTGGGCAAGTATGCTATCAGGGATCGCTCCAAAATTCTGAAGAGCAATGAAGTTCATTTTAAGACTAAGGTGCTCCTGATTCAGGCTATGGTCTTCTTAATTATCTGCCATGAATTAGAGGGCTTGACAATGAATGACAGAATTGATGCCTTTGGATTGTGGTGCTAGAGAAGAGTACTAAATATCTCATGGGTTACCAAAAGAACAGTTCTGTCTTGGAAAAGTACAGCCAGAGCACTCCTTAGATGGGAAAATGGCAAAGCTCTGTCTTTCATACTTTGGATATGTGGTTAGGTAAGGCGAATCCTTGAAAAGGGACATCATGCTTGAAGTACCCAATAAGCATAGGCTAAATTCTGCAAATTTATTAATCTGCAATGAATAATTTCACATTTTTACACCACATCAAAGATTTTGCTCTAGATATGGCTGGCATCTATTTCTCTACAAATCCCGTAGCATCTTCCCACAGAAACCAGGCCTCCTTTCCAATTTACCATCCCTGACAGAGCAGCCAGTAGACAAGGTAAGCTTGGGCTCACTTGTGCTACTTACTAATCTGTAGTGAACACTCTCACATATTTTTCATTGCCATAGTTGTGTTAGAACCCATGTGAAATGGTGCTTTATTGAGTACTCTCCCAACCTCCACAACCGAGAGGTAGCTCTTGTTGACTTTATTTCCTGGGAAGAGTCTAGACCATAAAAGACTCCCTAGCTCTTGAGATAAAACCGTGATGCTTCGGCTTAAGCAGGAAGATAACACATTTTGAAGCCTTGAAAAATAAAGATTAATTTTGTTCTGTTGAGGAGTTGGGCTTTCATTCTGCCACTGGAAGATTTTAAGCTAGAGATCCATGCTTTAGCCAACTCACTTTAGGCTTCAAGTGCACTGCAGAAGATTTATGGGGGGCAAAGGCCAAGACTAGGATTGCAGTTGAGAAGCTTGAGCATGAGTCAAGGTGAACAGGTCACGAGGGCCTGTTGAGAGCAGGGGTGTAGTTGAGAGGTGCTGTAAACAATAGTGGGACTTGGTCTTGATCGCATGTGAAGGTGAGTCAGACGATGCCAGGAGTGCCCCAAAGTTCATAAATAACACAGTAAAGGAGTCACTGGTTGAGACAGAGTAGGTGGTCAGGAAGATTTCAAAGAAATAACAGATGAAAGATGAGTTAGAATTGACCAGATGCTCAGGGAAGCAAGAGGCACCTTAGCAGAGCAAGCAGCTCTGCTAAGCCAGAAAGACATGAGGACATCCTAGACCGCCTGAAACTGTGGAAGCAGTTTGACCTGGCCAGAATATGCCATTCGAGGAAAGGTGTGAAGAAGAAGGAGGTTGAGAGCCTGGCAGGGACCAGAGTCAGATGTCCAATGAGAGGTGGAGTTTGCATTTCAGCAAATAGCGAACGGGAAAAAGTAAAAGTTGGTTTGCCAAGTGGAGCACTATAGATCAATAACCTAGATGATTTCCCCTAAAGTACATCACTGACAGAGCTAGTGGGGGTGGAGAGAATGTGAAGCACCAGATGTGGTTCATAGCACTGATCTGGGAATTTCTTGCTCTCTTGTCAGGTATGGAGGAATCTCCATTGGAGGAAAGCTTCCGGTTCTTCCCATCACTGGAGAAGCACTTGTTGGGTTTTTACGTGGCCTGGGCCAGATAATGAATGTGAGAGGGGTATGTAAACAGACTGGAGACTTGGGTAGGAATTTTTACTTGCTGAGGTATCATGAAACATAAATTATAATGAGTGCTACAGAAAAAAAAATAGCCAGCATGCTTGTATATTGTGGTTTTGTAGGGCCCTATCACCAGTGAAGTCTCTAAAGAAATACCTGATTTCCTTAAGCATCTGGAAACTGAAGACAACATTAAGGTATTTAACCCGCATAATCTGCCCTAGAGCTAAAAGTTCACATGTGCTGCTTGTTGTATTTTTCTTTTCCCAGCTGAGTGACATTCTGTATCTCCTCCAGTTGAAATCTAGAGATGAATGCCTTCCAGCTGCTATGCCCCTCCTCTCCTCACATTCTATTTTTTAAACAGATCTTGTTATATTTAGGGTCAAATCTCAGATGTCACAACACAGCACAGACTAACTAAGTCACCATCTCCACCTCCCAGGTGTGGTTTAACAACAAAGGCTGGCACGCTATGGTCAGTTTTCTCAACGTGGCTCACAATGGCATCCTGCGAGGCAGCCTGCCTGAGGACAAGAACCCTGAGGAGTATGGAATCACTGTCATAAGTCAACCCTTGAACTTGACCAAAGAGCAGCTATCAGAGATTACAGTGTGAGTCACATGGTCCCCAGTATCCCAGCCTGTTTCTTGACTCTTTAAGGGAGCTCTGGGGGCATATCCCATAGGGAGCTGTGCCTAACCTCTCTGGCAGTTTGAATCCACTGGCGGCTTCAAGGGTTGCACCTCCCTTGGGAGAAGGTCTCAGCCCATTCGATTTGTTATTGTGGTTGTATACCAGCAAGTGGGAGCAAACTCACAGCTGACCCTCCAGCAGGTCATCAGAGGCAGTATATAACGCAGGAGAACATTGCCCAACTTTCTTCCACAGAGAAGCTGGTGAATTTGAACTGCTTGCCTTTGGGTTTGACAGCACAACTCCTTATCACCAAACCACCAGAGATTTACAGTCTCTAAAGCACTGCTGGTGAGCCAGCCGTGAGTTGGTTAGAACTGGGAGGCAGATGCGTTTAATTTCTCTACTCTTTGGATATGCTGGGGCATGGAAATGGTACTTAATTATTACTGTTGAATTGACTTTGACTCATGAGTGATCATTATGACAGAGTAAAAATATCCCCCACAGTTTCCTAAACTGTCATCTTTACAGAAACAGACTGCTACATCGTCCTTCCAAAGTGAGTCTGATGGGCTAGGACCATCAACCTTTCAGTTAGCAGCCGAGTTTTGAACCACTGTTCCACCAGGACTTCTTGAATGTTTGGTTTGTTGTTGTTGTTGTTTTAGCGTTTAGTCAGTTACATGTGAACGTAAGACTTTTGTTACACACACACACACACATTTTTGCGTATCCAATTGTTGAGCCATACATTCTCCTCATTTATTTGTAAAGTAAGCTTATATTTTATTCTATTCTTATTTGGCTCCTGATGATAAATTACTCCTGGAACTTACTATATATATTTCTCCTTGTCAGTATGCAAAAGTGACTGCCAGGAACTAGGAAAGTTTAATAAATCTTTTATCTCCACCACAGTAATTAGATTCCAGTATTTTCCCTCTGAGAGTCAGCCTTTCAGATGTTTCACAGATCCTTGGCTTTCTTGCACTTAGCCTCTTATTACACAGCTTCAGGCAATAAAAACATCCATATTTGCATTTTGTAAAATGTTTGCTCTGATCAAGGCCTCTGTGCGAATGCCTCTGTTAGTACAAACTTCTTCTGAAAAGTCTGAAAAACTCGGACTCAGGCTCACTGCTGTTGGATTTAAATCATCTCATAGCTGACCCGAAAGCCACTCTATGAGGCTGTCAATTGCAAGGGAGGGGGACTGCCCATATTTCTCCAGTATTCACTGGTGGATTCAAACTGCCAGAGAGACACGGCTTTTGAATTAGCAGCACGACTCCTCATGGACTAGGTATCCAGAGCTCCCTGGAGGTTTGTTGTTGATTGCCACCCTTTGGGCTTTTGATACATGGTGACTTCAGGTACAATAAAATTCAAATCGTTATGATCCATCAGGTTTTAACAGTGATTTTTTCCCAAATAGATCACCAGGTCTTCCTTCTTTGTCTTAGTCTAGAAACTCTGCTGACTTCTGTGCAGTATGATAGCATCATATAAGCCCTCAGTGGCAGCCATGCATAAAGTGGACTGGCTAGGAACTAAACCCAGGTCTCCTGCATGCAAGACTAGCATCCTACACTGAAGGCATTTTACTATCTCCAGTACACTCTCAACAGTCATTGCTGTCAAGTCAGAATCAATTCACAGCGGAGCCTCCAGTGGGTTTCCATGGCTGTAAATCACACAAGAGGAGACTTTCTGTCTTTCTTCCCCAGAGCAGCTGGCAGATTAGTACCACTTCCTTTGTGTTGGCATCTCAACTCCTTACCACTAGGCCACCAGAGCTCAACTAATACTTAGAAAAAGAAAAAGAAAGCTTCCTAGAAATATTATGTGAAAAACAAAAGTACACAAGCTAGCATCCTCTAATTTTGACCCACTCTGAGTCAGTGGGGTGATGAGGAGGGAAGTGGGGGGAAGCACCACGAGCTGGGTTGGGTGAAGCTTTGTGGATCACAACTCTGGATCTGCTCCTGCTCTTCTCTCCTCATATCTCACCCCCGTGTTTTCTGGTTTTGCTGCAGGCTGACTACTTCAGTGGATGCCGTGGTTGCTATCTGTGTGATTTTTGCCATGTCCTTTGTCCCGGCCAGCTTTGTCCTTTATTTGATCCAAGAGAGGGTAAACAAGGCCAAGCACCTCCAGTTTATCAGTGGGGTGAGCCCCATCACCTACTGGCTGACCAACTTCCTCTGGGACATCGTAAGTGTTAGCTGATGGCACTCCCATGGACCCAAAGTGGACATTTGTATCTGCTCTGACTGACAGGACACAGCAGGGCAGTGTGCTGGCACGGTCAGGCCTGCTGGAAGGTGCCATGCCAAGAGCCTTGCATATTTGCTGTCCTCAGAACATCTAAGAAAACAGGGAACTAGCAATTCTGTGAGGAGAAGAATATGCGGAGTAGCTGCCAAGATGACGCTGTCAGTGCTCTGCAGCACAGGGAGTTCTGATGACCAAATGACCACTTCCACTTCACTCAGGGATGTGAGGCTTACCTCCTCAGCAATAATCTTGAGCTGAGGGGATACTCTTGAGAGTCCTTCATACCATATCCTCTTCTTAAACCCTACCATCCTATTAAAAGGATGAGGGTGGAACTTCCCCTGCAGTAGACTTAAAATAAGACAGTTAAATATAAGACATTCAGTTAAATTTTAACTACAGGTAAATAGTAAATCCTTTTTTACTGTAACTATGTCCTAAAGAGTGTATGTAACTTAGTTATACTAAGAAGTGATTCATTATCTGAAATTAAGATTTAAGTGGCATCTATGTGGTTTTGTTTGCTAAATCCAACAGCTCTGCCTAGTAGTTTTACTTTGCTTTCCAAGAATAACCAGAGATTCACTAAGCAATCTGTAGATTCAGTACAATCCCAATCAACATTCCAACAGCTGCCTTTGAAAACATAGAAAACCCATCTGTGTGGGTTTTATCTTGCCTTTATATGGAAAGTCAAGAGGCTGTAACTATATTTAAAGAATAGAGTAGAAGGACTCTTCATTCTAAAGCATTCTGTTGCTGTTGCACCATCAAGTTCAATCTGACCCATAGCTGACCCTCTGTCAGGTTTTCTGAGGCAATTAATCTCATGGAAGGAGGTTGTCCATCCTTCTCCCATGGAGCAGCTGATGGATTCAAACTGCATGCCTTCAGGATTGCAGTGCAGCTTCTTGCCATTATGCCACCAGAGCTCTCTCTAAAACATTCTATACAGCGAATTGAAACAGTCTGGTAATAGTGTAACAATAGACAAATAGACTAATGAAATAGAATTGAGAATTCAGCAACACATCTGTGGTCAACTGATTTTTTTACATACATCCCAAGTTCATTCAGTATCAGTGCTGTGATAATCAGATTTCCACATGCAGAAAAATAAAATGGGATACATGCCTCGCATCATACACAAAACCAAATTAAAATGGATCAAAGATCTAAATGTCCAACTAAAGCCATAAAGAAAGACAAGGAAGAGCAATGTTGTCAGGTCAAACATTCCATTATGAATTATCCAATACAATAACAAAAGCACAAAACGCAAAAGCCAAAATAATTAAGACCTCGTACATATTTAAAACTTTATTCATATAAAAACTTTACAGGAAAAGTTAAAAGATAGACAATCAACTAGAATATCTTCAATAACTATATATCCAACAAGAATTGAATAAACAAAATAGATGTAAAACTTTTACCATAACTAAACAATACAAGATCAGAAATTCTCAGTAGCAACCAAATCCTTTCCCCTCACCCACCGTCTATGCAAAAACCAATCATGAACTTATGAGAAGTGGGTCAGCCTTAGGACTTCGACACCACTTACTGGCCTTGTGCTTTCAGCATGAAAGGAACCAAGTTTACCTCCTTTAAAAAATGAGAAGACAAATAGATACTACATTTGTGATTTACTGACTTAGAGACAAAGATCCCTGAGTCTCAGGACAGTTATATGACTAGAGGTTTGAAGTGACTGTTTGGGGTGGAAGATGGTATTAGCAGATACAGTCAAACAAAGGGTGAGAAGACTGAAAAGTCCCTTGGGTGGGAAGATGCGAGAAGGAGTAGTATTTAAGTTAGAAGGAAGACTGGAGTCTGGTTGACCAGGTGTTTACTTCACAAGAAGTGTAAAGATAGAATCAGAAACTTGGACCACAAAATTATAGGAGGCTAGTCCCACCTCCTTCCACCTCCTTGGTCTGACGAGGAGGAAAGGGAGGCTCAGGGAGGTAATGCAGTTTGTCCTCTTTTTCTTTTCAAGGTTAATTACGCTGTGAGTGCTGGTCTGGTGGTGGGTATCTTCATCGGATTTCAGAAGAAAGCCTACACTTCTCCAAGAAATCTACCCGCCCTCATTGCCCTGCTCATGCTATATGGGTGAGCGGTTAAGGCCATGAGCTAATGCTCCTCTTGATGGGGAAGCCTGGGGAGGGGCATCATCTTCTGACAGAAAGCTGAGGGTTCCAGAGGCTGAGTCAGGTGCACACTTAAGCTCTGAGTCTGCCAGTCGGGAAACTGGCTGGCTGTTTCCATCTGTATGAATGGAGATGTTTCAGAGTTTGATCAGTTTAGGGAATAATGGAAGAAACTCCACATGGTTTAAATCTTCTTCCATTCACACTGTGGCCTGACCTATGAAGTATGGGAATCAGCCATTCCCCAGATCCTCACCCTTGCTCTGAGGCCTGTCTTTCTGAGCCCAATCTTTCCATCTTAGTCGCTCCATATGCACTGAATGAGAATCATGTGTGCGCACTTAAAGATTCCAGCTGCTCCTGAGTTGGGGACAAAGAGTGTCATGGGGATTAAACTTGGTAGAATTATAGTGCAGCATATGCAACTCTATATCCCTGGTTTATCACTTACCATGTGTGCAAATGCTTACTATATGTGCAATATGGATTGAAGCTCAACATAAAAAAAAAAACCCACTGAAGATTCTCACCACTGATCCAATTGGCAGCATCATGATAGATAGAGATTGAGATTATTAAGTTTCAGTTTACTTGGTTCCACAATCAACACTCACGGAACCAGCAGCCAGGAAATTAAAAGGTGAATTGCATTGGGAAAATATACTGTAAGGGACCTCTCCAGAGTACTGAAGAGCAACAGTGTCAGTCTAGAGACTAAGGTGTGCCTGATCCAAGCCATGGTCTTTGCAGTTACTTGCTATATATCAGAGAGCTGGACAATTATTACGGATGACAGAAGAAGAATTGATGGCTATGAGTTGTGGTGCTAGAGAAGAGCATTGAACATATCATAGACTGCTAAGAGAACAAACAGGTCTGTCTTGGAGAGGGTGAGACTAAGCTGTTGGATTTTGAAGCTCTGTCTCACATACTTTGGGCCTGTTTCCAGGATGGATCAGTACTTGGAGAGGGCTATCATGCTTGGAAAGATGGAGAAACAGCACAAGAAAAGAAGATCTTGAATACAATAGATTGACTTAGTGATTGGGGGAATGGGTTTAGGCATGTTGTAGATAATGAAATTGGTTCAGAATAGAGTAGGGTTCAGAGCTGTTGTACATAGGGTCTCTATGAGTCACAAACGACTCAATGGCACGTAACAGCACATGTGCAAACAAAGCCAAGAAACTAACCCCACCTGGTCCTGGGTTTCTTCATCTCTAAAGTGGCAATAATGATACTTGGCCCCTCCTACATAGTCAGGTGAGAAGGCCTTGTGGTGCAGTGGTTAAGCACCTAGCCACTAACCCTAAGGTCCATCCTTAGAACCCACCCAGTGTTTCTATGAAGCAAAGTCTTGGAGAACTGCTTCCATAAAGATGGCAGTCTGTGAAACCTTGTGGCACAACTCTACTATGTCATCGGGTCACTGTGAAATTTAAAAATTGACCCAACAGCATCTAACACCACGTAGACCAGGAGAGGCTCATCATGGTATTGGTCTCCATTCATCGCTTGGAAAAAGAGAATCCAGGAAGCATCTGTGAAACATCGGCTCCAGTGAACTGTGAAGATGAGCTTGTTATGTGGAACCTTCAGCTCTACTTTGCTGTTCCAGACTAGAGTGGAGAGAAACATTGCAGGATGCAGAATCCGTCTGTGTATTATATGTAAAAACAAAAACAAAAACAAACAAATGGGGCAGGGGAACCCAAAGCACTGCCCTCAATTCTCTTCCAATTCCTAGAGGTCTTCCCATTGGTTTTCTGAGGCCATAAATCTCTACAGGAGCAGCCTGCCCAGCTGTCTTCCATGGATTCAAACTTCCAGCCTTCTAGTTAGCAGCCTAAGACATAATACACTACACCCCCCAGGGCTCCTTATGTTCTGTTATTGTTCTGTGTGCCATCAAGTAGGCACTGAATCATACCTGACCCTCCAACGGGTTTTCAGAGGCAGCAATCACACGGGATGAGATTGCTCATCCTTCTCCTGCAGAGCACCTGGTGGATTCGAACTGTGTGCCCTTGGGATTGCACACAGAATTTTATCACTAGACCATGAGAGCTGCCTTATGCACCATATATAAGACTTTATAATTCACAAAGCACAGTCACAGCTACTGTTTCACTTGCTCCTCACAAGACCTCATGAGATAGCCAGGGCAGGTATTATTATTCTCTCCATTTAAAGGTTAAGGATGGACACCAAGTAGATGGAGTATGTCTGAGACCCTGGTTCAGTTCAGACATTTCATATGTGTGAGGATAATGCAGGCAGGGTGGCAATTAGAGCTCTGTTCACTGAGTTGTGTTATTTCCCACAGATGGGCAGTCATTCCCATGATGTACCCAGCATCCTTCATGTTTGATGTCCCCAGCACAGCCTATGTGGCCTTGGCTTGTGCTAATCTGTTCATCGGCATCAACAGCAGTGCAATTACCTTCGTCTTGGAATTATTTGAAAATAACCGGGTGAGCATGAGTTTCTTAGTTTCTTTGATTGATTGAGAGGGTGTGCTGACTGGGCAGTGCAGTGGACAACACTGTGTCTAGAGAAGCTTCAGACAGGATGAGTTTTGGTTTTTCTCCCGTCCTCCCTTCCTTCCTCTCTGAGGTCCTTGTTCATTTATGTGCTCTAAGTATCATTTCTTTATTTCTGAACTCATTTTTCAGACTATAAATGACTTGTTAATTTGGTTGCTCCTTCAAGAAGACTTCACACAGAGAAAGAGAGAATATTAATGTAATTTCAAAATAGTATCAATATGTACAAAAAGGGAAACAGTGAATCCAGCTGTAGCATACTAACATACCTTACTCTTTGTACAAGCTAATCCTAGAATAAGACTTAAGAATTTATGGAACTGAATTACTAATTTTTATGTCACCTTTATGCCCTATTGTCTTATCTCCACACCTACACAATTCTTGTTCATAAAACAACCCTGATTTGTCAGCTAAGAAAACAAATTAATCTATAAATAATGCTAATGACTGCAAGAATTACTCCACATATGCCTTCATGGGAGAAAGATGGGAAGTCTCCTCCTGTGTGATTTATAGCCTCTGAGAACACAGTGGAAGGCCAGCTAAGAGCTGATTTTGCCTTGACCATGGTCAAGTTTTTTAATACCATGTAAGAAAACAAAGATTCTCACCACTGGACCAATTGGCAGCATCAGGATGGATAGTGAAGAGATTGAGATTGTACACAGCTTTAGTTTGCTTGGCTCCACAGTCAACACTCTTGGCACCAGTAGCCAGGAAATTAAAAGACGTATTGCCATGAGAAAGTCTGCTGTTAGGGACCTCTCCAAAGTACTGAAGAACAATGGTGTCTCTCTGGAGACTAAGGTGCATCTGATACAGGACATGGTCTTTGCTGTCACTTGTTACGCATCAGAGAGTTGGACAATGACTAAGGAGGATAGAAGGAGAATTGATGCCTTTGAGCTATGGTGCTGGAGAAGAGTATTGAGAATACCATGGACTGCTAGGAAAACAAACAGATTCATCCTGGAAAGGGTTAAACTGGGCAGCTCCTTGGAGGCAAGGATTCTGAGGCTCCATCTAACATACTTTGGACATGTTGTAAGGAGGGACCAGTCCTTGGAGAGGGACATCATGCTTGGGAGGGTGGAGGGACAGCGCAGGAGGGGAAGACCCTCTATGAGGTGGATTGATTCAGTGATTAGGGTAATCGGGATGGAAATGTCAGAGACAGTATGATTGGCACAAGACAGAACAGAGATTAGGGCTGTTATACATAGGGTCGCAAGCCACTAGACAGCACATAACAACAACAACAACAACAATGGATGTACCTGTATGAATAACGTGTGACCACTTGCTTGCCCCCCAAATTTCCCTGTTCCAGTTGAGAAGTAGCTCACACTCCAAGATAGAAACTGTTGTAAACCCTTGTAAACTGAGATTCCTTAAGGCATGTGCGTGAAAGAACATCAAAGGAATGAAACAGAGAAGACATCACCGAACAGAAAACTCAGACTCATTGCCTTAAAGATAGTTGGTTCTGACTCATAGCAGCCCTCCATCCAGTTCCTGGGACTATAAATTGCAGTAGGAAGAGATTTCCCATCTTTCTCCCATGGAGTCACTGGCACATTTGAACCACCTGAGATGAGCAGCCTTCAGATTCACAGTGTAATTCATTATGGACCATTACCACCACAGCTCCTTCATAGGCCAGAATATGTCCGAAGAGTAGACTGCAAGTCAGGAAAATCCTTTTGGAGGAAACTCATCTGAGCATAACCTAGAGTAAGCAGAATTAAATTAGTCTATTTAATAAACATTGAATGTTAGGAGCTCCTTAATGAGCAAGGTATTTAGGAAAGACAAAAAAATAATAATGACTCAGTTCCTATCCTTCAGGGATGAAGATACCACCAACTACGGGGAAAAAAAATTGTCATGAAATATGAAAAGTGCTATAAGAGATGAATGGATATTTTACCCTAGGAATCTGAGAAAGTTATAGTGGAAGGGGCTACATGAGCTAACTTTCCAAAGAAAAAAAAGCAGAAAGGGAAAGAATTTTATTTCCTTTCAACAGCACAGATGATAGAGACAGAAAGTGCCAAGACCTAGAGGCCAAAGAACACAGTGCCTTGTGTGAGTGTGCACGTGAGAGTGGGTATGTATGTGTGTGTGAGAGAGAGTATGTATGAGAGAGACATTGTGTATGAGTGTGAGTGTGTGTGTGTGTGTGTGTGTGTGTGTGTGTGTGTGTACAGATGAAGTAAGTGAACAGAGGTGTGAGGCTGTGGGGTAGAGATCGATCAGTGAGCTTAGCTGGAATGAGGAGTAACAATTTGTCAGCTTGGTGTTCCTCAGTCTTCTTGGGAAGTTACGCCCAATACCCAGCTCCTGGGGTGAAACAGAGTCAAACCATCTGAAAACAAGTTCCCCCAACTCAATGCACATCCCAGAGCCTCTCTGGTCCTTTTATCTGCTCTTGACAGCCCAGAAAGTGGTAGCTCTCCTGAGACACCACTTCTGAGGACTTCAGGACATCCCTATCAGGATCCCTATGTTCTAATCCTCTAGGCCTCTGAGAAGGGCATCCCTGGCCATAGCCTTCTTCAGAAATAGTGCAAGAGTCTGAGGCCCTCATGATAGCCCAAAGCGGTTTCAAAGGGGAAGAATCCCTGGGCCAAGCTGCTAGCAGTGCTGGCACTCCAAGGACAGATGCCTCTGAGGGCCAGCTCATGTGTAGTTAGTTACAAGTGTGTCTTCAGGAAGAGTTCGTGAAAAAGACAGCCAGAAGACTGCTTTCCTGTACATTCATACTGATGCCCATGTCACAGTTGGCCACAGTTTCAAGGAAAGTTCATCACAGTTCTCCCAGTCTCCACACAGTACTGTGCATGGGTTGCGAGTTACTTAGTTCTCATTGAGTGAACTCCAGCTCCTCAGGACTCCATGTACAACAGTGTGCAGTGCTACCCAATCCTAGGTCCCCATCACATCAGTGTGCTGAATGCACTGTTGCAGATCTCTGCATTATGACTGTCTTCCAGCTTCGGGGGTGGCGGGGGTGGGGGGAGGCTCATCTTCCAGCACTATATCAGAACATGTTCTGTAGTGATCCATAGCGTTCTCATTGTCTTATTCTCAGAAATCATCACCAGACCCCTTTTCTTTGCCTTAGTCCAGGTGCTCCACCAAGCTTGTCTACTAGGGTGACCCTATTTATATTTTTAAATACTGGTGGTGTAACCTCTAGCAACACAGCAATGTCCAGCAACACCAGGTGACAGAGTGAGACAGATGGGTGGTAGTCTGAGCATGATAAGTGCCAGAAAGCATGCGTGGCTGGACAGATGGGGCAGCCCAGGTACCCCAGAAGCTTGCAGGGAGCCTAGTAGGTGATTAGTCATGAGATACCACCTCTGAGGACTTCAGGACATCCCTGTCAGACTCCCTATGTTCTAGTCTATAAATCCTGTCTCTGGCCCCTTTGTCTATACACTTTCCCCTGACTTTGCCCCATGAGAGCACCCAAGACCCAACCCCAATGAGGAGGGGACAAGTAAGCCCCACAGCTGACAATCCCATTGCTCTGTTGTAGACACTGCTCAGGTTCAATGCCATGCTCAGGAAGCTGCTCATCGTCTTCCCCCACTTCTGCCTGGGCCGGGGCCTCATTGACCTGGCGCTGAGCCAGGCTGTGACAGACGTGTATGCCAGGTTTGGTAGGTAGCAGTAGAGGCCTGTGGAGGTGGGGTTGGGTCTTCTAAGCCTGGGAGGGCTATGAACAAAGCCCAAATATCAGATCTGCAGCCTGGACCAAGGATGAGGGTACCTTGTCAATCTGGGGTTTTCATCTCACCTCGAGGGGGTGAGGATGATTCTGTTTCCTTAGCTGGGGAGCCACAGCTGGTCCCGAGAAGCCCAAGCTGAGACGGAATTTTGCCTCTTAATTGACAGTCTCTTGCTTCACTCCTGGTCCAGCTGGCCTGACAAAATCAGATCTTTACCAACCAGCTAGGGAAGCTGAAGTGGACTTGCTGATATTGATTTCTGGTGGCCTCTGTCCCAGGTGAAGAACACTCTTCAAATCCCTTCCAGTGGGACCTGATTGGGAAGAACCTGGCTGCTATGGCGATAGAAGGAGTGGTGTACTTCCTCCTGACGCTCCTCATCCAGCACCACTTCTTCCTCACCCGATGGTAGGTCCGGGGCACTGCCCCGAGGTGCCAGCGACCAGCCCCTCGTGTCCCACGGCTTCATTTCCCACAGATATGGTTGTATCTTTCCTCCTGAGCCCTACTGCATGATACTTTTGTACTTTCAATTATTAAATCTTTAATATTCATTTAAGAGACCGAGAGAGAAGGGGAAAAAAAACAACCCCAAAAAAAGCAAAATCCAAAACAACTCTCAACTTTTGTCTCCAAGTTTCCCTTTGAAATCATCTGTTCAATTCTCTTACTTCATCATTTCTTCCTTTAGTTTACCTTCTCTCCATTGAAAAGCAAGTTTCAAAGTAGAAAAAAAAAGTAGCGAAGGCAATTTACCTTTGATAATACTTGTCAAGTGTATAAGCTTTATATTTTGTATTGTAATTCTTTCATCTTATACACTTTCTTTCCTAGATACTGCATATTTTATATTGACTCAAACAAATCTCTATAAGAAATATGTAAAAAATAATTCTGTGTTCATAATATCTATGTTATAATTATCATGAACACTAGGATAATCATTAAAAAAAATCTTCATTTAGTGAACAAATAACATAAATTTGGACCATCTTGAAAAAGATGTGGCTAAGAAGTATCCAAATCTGGAACTAGATTTATGTATTCACTAGGAAAGAGACAAAAATAGGTTTTCACATTCTAGTAATAGACTTGGACATTAGGACAGGGGAAAAGGGGAATAACAGTGTGTGAAGTACCTGAGTAGCACAAACCACATGTTGATAACTATTAACTAAAAGATTGGAATTCAAATCCAAGCAGCTGTCCCTCAGAAGAAAAGCCTAGTGATCTTCCACTCTAAGATTGTTGCTGGAAGTCGCCATCAAGTTAATTTTGACTTACAGTGGCCTCGTATATGCAGATTAGAAATGCCCAAGTGTATTCAAGACTGAACTTTCAGATAATAGACCCTTTCAAGACCCCTCTGAATGGGTTTAAAATGACAACCTTTTGGCTAGTAATAAAAAGAATCTATGCCTTTGCCCTGTGGTGTTGGAGAAAAGTACTGAATGTCCCATGGACTGCCAAAAGAATAAACAAATGTGTCTTGGAGAAAGTGCAGTTGGAGCGCACCTTAGAAGCATGGATGGTGACACTTAGTCTCATATACTTTGAGTATGTTTTCAGAAGGGGCCAGTCCTTGGAAAAGGACATGTTTACAAAAGTGGAAGGTAAGCAAAGGAGAGGAAGACCTCAACAAGATGGATAACTCTGGCTACAGCAGTGGGTTTGAGTATATCAGGGATGATGAGGACGAAACAGGATAGGGAGGGTTCAGATCCATTGTTCATAGGGTCACTCCATGCCTCCTAACAACAACAGAGCGCTTAACCACTTGAGACACTCTGGGATCTGGAAAATTAGACATAGACTCTTATGCAGTGCAGGCCTTCTCTGACACACATGGATTGTCATGAGTCAAAATCAGTGGTTTTTGTTGTTAGTTTCTGTTTGGTTTTGAGGGTTTTTTGTTTGTTATGGTATGAGGTTAATGAATCCTCTAGTGCTGTAAGGAGCAGTGATGGTGTCTCATCCTGGGGGCGGGATGGGGTGACTGCTTACCTTGACTCTTGACCATGACTTCTTCCCTCAGGACCTGTGGCCTTTGCAGAGGGAGCGCTAGCCATTCAGACTAAATTTTCCTGGGTTTGGCCATTGAGTTCTGGAGCCTTTTGCTTCGTACCCTGGCATCCTCCCAAAGCCAAGTTTCTTTCACTCACTAACAAGGACAAGAGCTTTCTTAAAGTAAAAGTAGTCAGCCATACCTAAGCCTGAAACAGCTGCTTGCTTTGAGTATCAAGCTGATCATACAAGGCGTTGAAACAGACGAGGTAGAGAACTGTATAAAAGGAATATGTTGTTGTTGTGTGCCATCAAGTCGCTTGCAACTCATGTACCCTATGTACAAGAGCCCTAAACGCTGTTCTATCTTATGCCAACCTAGCCATCTCAAGCGCACTCATTCCCACCACTGCAGTCACAGAATCAATCCATCTCATTGAACGTCTTCCTCTGCTGCGCCATCCCTCCACTCTCCCAAACATGATGTCCCTCTCCAAGGACCAGTCCCTCCTTGCAACATACCCAAAGTATGTCAGATGAAGCTTCAGAATCCTTGACTCCACGGAACATTCTGGCTTCGCCTTCTCCAGGACAAACCTGCTTGTTCTCCTAGCAGTCCGTATGATTAGGTATTATTGGCATGACAAGAGTCCAGAATAAGAGCTGTATAGAAAAGTGATCTGGGGGAAGGGACTGTATAACAATGAAAGAACTTTTTTCCCAATTAAAAAAAAAATCAAACTGGGGGGAGAGGGGATGGGGGAAAATGTGCAACAATGACTGAATGGAAATCCAAATTCTTCATAAACTTTCATTAAAATCTAAAAAAAAAAAAGAAGCTAATTAAGTAAAAAAAGGGTAGATTAACTTTATATAGCACATTTAAAAAAATATTTCTATTCAGCATTATGATAAAACTATTACATTTAGCAACTGACAGCATGAATGAATAAAAATTTATGTTTAAAAAAAGCATCTATCTCTGAATCAAAAGCTAACTTTCAGAAACCTCCATGATTGCTTTTTAAAAAAAATTTCACCCTTCTTACTCCCTAGAAATGTTCCTTTTTGCATTCATAGTATTAGCATATTAAAGAGAGGTATACTAGTATACCTATATGGCACTTAAAACTGAGACCTTAAATTTGGAAACACAAATGAGGAGAAACAGTTGTAAGCAGATGATAATGATTGGAACATAAATATGAGAAGCATGAATGTAGGGGAAATTGGACATTATTAAGAAAGAAATGGAATGCATAAATATTGACATACTAGGTATTGGTGAAATGAGATGAATTGGCATGGGACATTTTGAATCACACAATTATATGATCTGCTATACTGGAGATGAAAAGGTGAGGAAAAACAGGGTCACATTCATACTTTAAAAATAATTTCTAGATCTATCTTGAAATACAGTGTACAGGGTTGTGAGCAACAGGATAATATCCATACACATACAAAGAAGACCTATTAATACTACTGTCATTCAAATATATGCAACAAAACCAACTTTTGCAGTCAGAAATTGATCAAACATGTAATCAAGATAGATGCATTAATAATAATGGGTGACTGGAATGCAAAAGTTGGGAACATGGAAGAAAGATAAGTAATTGTACAATAAATGATTTATTCATTGCAAATATCTTTTATAAGAAACATGCACAGTGACTATACACAGGGATTTCACATGATGGTATGCACAGGAATCAGATCTGTTACATCTGTAGAAAGAATTATTGGAGAAGCTCAATATCAGCTATGAAAACTCGGCCAAGTGAAGGGACTGTATGAAATAACATCTCGGGAACAGGTTTGAGGCCTTGAACTCTAATGAATGAAGACCAGATGAGCTGTGGGAGGATATTAAGATTCTTATCCAGGAAGAATGCAAAAGGTCATTTTAAAGACTGAAGAGGAAGAAAAGATGGAGATGGATGTCAGAAGAGACTCTGAATGTTGCATTAGAGCGCTGAGAAGCCAATGCAAATGGAAGAAAGCAGGAAGTAAAGGATTTGAACAAAAAAAAAAGTATTATAACAAAATGTGCAAAGAGCTGGAGTCATAAAATCTAAAGGGCCAAACTCGCTCAGCATTTCTTAAGCTGAAGGAACTGAAGAACAAATCCAAGCCTCTAGTTGCAATACTTAAGGAAGCTATGAACAGAGTATTGACTCATCCAGGAAACATTAAAAGACGATGGAGGAAGGGAGCTCTGGTAGCCTACTGGCAAGAAACTGTGCTGCAATACTGAAGGCATGAAGTTCAAACCAGATGCTCCACTGAAGAAGGAGGGGCAATCTCCTGTGCTAGTCAGATCCGACTTGATGGTACAAAACAACAACAAAAACAAAACAAAAAGATGGAAGGAATACTCAGACTCGCTATACCAAAAAGGATTGACTAACACAGAATTCATTAAGCAACAAGCGATCAAGAAGCAGTGGTGATGAAGAAAGAAGTTCAAGCTGCTCTGAAGGAATTGGCAAGAAACAAGACATATTTCTTCCCATTCCCTAGAAAAGATGGCCTGACAAAGTGTGGAAAATATCAAACAATAACACTAATATCACAAGCAAGTAAAATCCTGCTGAAGAATATCCAAAAATGACTGAAACATTACATTGACAGAACAACCAGAAATAAAAGCCAGTTTTAGAAGACGTATAACACTAGAAACATTATTGCCAATGTTGGATATAACTGAAAGCAAAGAATACCACAGGAATGTCTATCTGTGTTTCATTGACTATGAAAATGCATTTGACTGTGTGGATAACAACAAATTGTGTCCAGCCTTGAGAAGAATGAAAAATCCCAAAACAATTGATTGTACTCATGTGAAACCTATACTCAGACCAGGAAGCAGTCCTCAGAACAAAAAAAAGGAAACGCTGCATGGTTCAAAATCAGGAAAGGAGTGCCTCAGGGATGTGTCCTGTCTCCATACCTTTTGAATCTCTATGCAGAACAGATCAGCCTTTATGAGAAGGAATGTGGCATCAGGATTGGAGGAAGACCCATCAACATCCTGCATTATGCAGATGACACAAAACCTTGTTTGCTGAAACTGAGGAAGACCTGAAGTGTTTCCTGCACTTAGGAATTGAAATGCAACATCAAGAAGACAAAGTTTCTCATTACTGGGCCAATTGGCAGCACTGACTGGGAAAAAGTATTCGGTAATAACATATCAGATAAGGGACTTATATCCAGAATTTATGAAATACTTGAGCACCACAACAAGATAAAGGTAAATAATCCAATAGAAAAATGGGCACAGGATATGAACAGGCACTTCACCGAAGACGACATTCAGATGGCTAACAAGCACATGAAGAAATGTTCAAAATCCCTAGCCCTAAGAGAGATGCAAATTATAACAACTATGAGATATCATCTCACCTCAGTCAAAATAGCAAAATTTAACAGAACAGCAAGCAACAAATGCTGGCGAGGTTGTGGAGAAACTGGAACCCTGATTCACTGTTGGTGGGAATGTAAAATGGTGCAACCCCTGTGGAAAGCAGTATGGCGCTTTCTCAAAAAGTTGCAAATAGAGATACCATTTGACCCAGCAATTCCACTACTGGGAATATACCCTGAAGAGACCATAGCTGACATCCAAGCAGATATATGCACTCCCATGTTTATTGCAGCTTTGTTCACAATAGCAAGGAGTTGGAAATAACCTAAGTGCCCATCAACAAACGAATGGCTAGAGAAGCTGTGGTATATTCGCACAATGGAATACTATGCTGCATTAAAAAACAAGGAACTCATGCAATATTATTCAAAATGGTTGACTCTGGAGAACATTATGCTGAGTGAAATATCCCAGTCACAAAAGGACAAATATTACATGATGCCACTGTTGTAGAATGGGACTGTCCTTGGGGTTGGGGAGAGACTGAGTAAGATGGGTTCAATAATGTATACTGCACTGAAACAGAGGAGGGAGAAAACTGTGTAAAAGAGATATGTGACTAGGTATTTCTCTCATCACAGGAGTCTAGAGCGAGGGCTACACGGTGGAAGGAACCTGGGGGCGGGTTTGTAAAACAATGAAAGAATCTTTTCTTTTACTTTTCCATAATTTTTGACTCATGTACTTATAACTTGTTAGTTAAATTTGTGTCTTCTAGGTTGCAACCCCCCCATGATACATCTTCAGGGATATGAAATGTACGGCTAAGCACAATTAATAACAGTGTATCTAAATTCCAAAATCAATCTCCATAATAGTCTATGTGTTTCCTACTGCCAAAGGGGCCCTTTAGAGTAGTGAGAGAAGATCTTCACCCTGAAACCCACAGCGTCCCTTTTCAGCAGGAAGTAGCTAAGAGAATACGCCATCCCCTTTTCCTTATGAATCAGGGTGAAGTCTCTCTCAGGGAGGAGTGATAGGGAATGGCAAAGGACACACTGACAAAGGAGATTAATCAGAACTGACTTTGACAAGCACTGTGGCAATTGGACAATTAAAACAGACATTCAGATGGCGGGGAAGTAGATGCCACTCCTGTTTCCAAATCTGAATCAGTCTGGGAGCTCCACCACACACTGTGCACATTTGACACACCAGTTGCACAGTATTTAGCATCACAGTAACCCCAAGTTACCTCAGTACAACAAATTGACAGCTCAGTGCTGTACCACTTAGAAGAATGTTCATTCCCAACAACATTGTTTTGGGCAAGTCTGATGTCAGAGAGCTCTTCAAATTATTAAAGAGAAATTATGTCAGTTTGAAGACTAAGGTGAGCCTGATCCAGGCCATGGTATTCCAATCATTTGTTATGCATCTGAAAGTTGTACAATAAATAAGCATGACAGAATAATTGTGGTGTTGGAAAAGAGTACTAAATATCCTATGGACTGCTAAAAGAACAAATAGATATATCCTGAGAAGAGTACAGCCAGAGTACTCCTTAGAGGCAAGGATGGCAAAGTGTCATTTCACATGCTTTGTGCCTGTTGCAAGGGGAGGCTATTCCTATTCCTTGAAAAGGGACATGTTTGGAAAGGTCAACAAAGAGAGGAAGAGCCTCAATGCAATAGATTGATACAGTGACTGCAGTATGTATGTCAGAGATAATGAGGATGGCACAGGATAGGACAAGGTTCTGATTTGTTCATGGGGTCTATGAGTCATATTTGACTCAACGGCACCAAACAACAACAGCAGAGCCTAAGGCCTATTTTATAGATTTCATCCTCCACTGGCTGGGACTAAGGGAAATCACCTGATATTCTTTTTGCCTTGCTAATACCTTTTGGGTTTCCTCCTTCTTATGTTTGTGAATAGCCTGTGTCTCTGATAGGACATTGATATGATTTCATTCACCAAATCATAAGCCTCTTATATCAAAGAAAACCTGTAAGCAAATGTATGATCACCTTCATGTGAAACAGCTCTTTACTATTGTAATTTGCACACATTTTCCTGAGGGATGTTGCCATTTTGAGTCTCTAGAGGAAGTTATCCTGCTGGCAGTGCCAAGAAAAATCCCTTTTCCTTAATGTGTCTTTTCCTTAATAAGCTACTTTTCTTAGCTTTTTACAACTGCACTAGTTACTGTTTTTTCCCCTTCTATAACAGAAGTCAGTAACCTGTTGCCATGGATCCAATCCGGGAGTCCTCTAGCACAGAGTCAGACTACCCATAGGGTTTCCAAGGCTGTAATCTTTACAGAACACCATCACCTCTTTCTCCCTTGGAGCAGCTGCTGGGTTCCAAACGCAGATACTTCAGTTAGGAGCTGAGCACTTAACCACAGAAGTCCAGGGCTCCTAGGAGAGCACACAGTCAACTAACTCTAGCTTTAGAAGCTCACTCACTCTGGATTCGAGTGAGCTGTTTTTTGTCATTCAAGCCTTAGGGGATGGAAGCACAAACTAGGGTGGGGTGGCTGTAGGGTTGGAGAGAAATGGGAAGAAAGGTTAGAGGATCAGAGTAGGATGTTCCACACCAGTTTAACCTTGTCCTGTTTCCTTCCTTCAGGATTGGAGCTCCCACCAAGGAGCCCATTACTGATGAAGATGAGGATGTGGCTGAAGAAAGACAAAGGATTCTTAGTGGGGGAAATAAAACTGATATCTTAAGGCTCCATGAGCTAACCAAGGTAAGAAAACAGGCATGGGCCTGTTCCTTGGAACTGCCTGCTGGATCTGCAGATGGCCCAGCTTTGGAATTTGCTTTCTGTAGATCAAGCAGTAAATTTTTGCAAGCAATTAATTTTATTTTATTGGACTTGGCCTGTCTGTTTTGTCAAAATCTTCCCAAAAACATCTAATCCCAGTGCATTTTCCCCTGGAGATTATTCTGGGTAAAGCACAGAACTTCAGAGGGAGCTGCCCACCACCCATCACTGATCTCCTTTTGTTCAGCATTGTATGGGTCAGCTTCCAGCCTCAGCTTTGCTGATGGGGCCCTTTACATTTCTTTTTAATGCTTTTACTCAGCACCTCTCTAAATACTGTGCCACTCTTCCCTAAACCTCTTCACCTCCATGTCCATTCCCTACACTAACACTGTTCCAGTTTTAAGTTCCGTTTCTCTGGGTCTTACAGGTTTATTCCGGAACCTCCAGCCCAGCGGTAGACAGGCTGTGTGTGGGAGTGCGCCCAGGAGAGGTGCGTACTCTGGAGGCCGCATGGAAAGGGCTTTAGAAAATTAAGACCTGTTCATGCACATCTCTTCTTCCTTCTGAGGCAGTGCTGTCTAGCAGAAACATAACACAAGCTGCATATGTAGATATAAATTTTCTAATAGCTACAGTGAACACTAGTGGTTTAATGGAAAAGGAGTTGTGCTTGCTACCAAAGGCAGGGTTTTCGAATCCACTAGCTGCTCCACAAGAGAAAAATGGGCAATTTCCTCTTAGACAATTGACAATCTCTGAAAACCCACTGAAGGGTTAGCTATACAGTCATCTGACTTGATGGCAATAGCTACAGTGGGCTTAAATGAAATCAGGTAGGGGTTAGCTCTATTGTACATAGAGTTGTTATGAGTCAGAGTTGGCTCAGTGGCACCTAACAACAATAATAGCTACATGACAAAAGGAAATCTCTCTCTCATTGGAACCAATTCATAGCTGGCCCTCTTCATTGGGTTTCTGAAGGTATAAATCTCACAAGAGGAATGTTCATCCTTCTCTCTCAGAGCTGTTTGTGAATTTGACCTGTCAGAGAGGTGCTGCCTTTGTATTAGCACACAGCTCCTTATGGACAATGCTCATTTTGGTAATATATTTTGTTTTACCTAATATATTAAAAATATTACCATTTCACCATGTAGTCAATATAAAACATTATTCATGAGATCATTTATGCTCTTTATTGTTGTTTTATGTCTTCAGAATCCAGTGTGTGTTTTTACATTTAGGGTACATCTTAATTCAGATGAGATATAATTCATTCAAGTGATACATAGCCACACGTGGCCTCGTCATGTCCCTCAAGTTTGGTCGTGTTCTCAGAAGGGGTCAGTCCTGGCAAAAGTCCAGGAAAGATGAAGAGTCAGGGAAAGAAAGGAAGACTCGTAATGGTTTGACATAGTGACTATAACAAAGAGCTCAAGCATATCAGAAATGATGAGGATGGTACAGGATGGGGCAAGGTTCAAATCTGTTTTTCCTAGAGTCACTATGAGTCATAGTCCACTTGATGGCACCTAGCAACAAGAAGATCTAGACCCATGTTCTTCTCCAACCCTCCACGGCATCTCTTTCCAACTCATCTGCATAGTCTCCTGACAAACCAAGCAACTTGTGGTTTAGCATTGTTCCGTCTTCTTTCATCCATGCCTACATTGCACACATGCATAGCATGCACTTTTCCTGACTGATCATCTGCAAATACCTTACAGTATCTTTTAAACTCTATAGAAAAGCATGTTCTCATTGAAACTCTTCCTCATTCTCCCAGGTAGAGTTGTCCCTCTTGAGCTTTCTTCATAACCACAATGCTACCAGTGTATAATGTGCTCACTCATTACAAATCTCTCTCCCCCTGCTAACCTGTAAGTTTCTTGAGGACGAAACTATGGCTTTCTTTCTTTGTCCAGTCCCATGCCTGGTAAATTAAGGGCTTTATAAATTCATGCATGGATGAAAGAGGAGGGAAGAAATGTGTATTCCTGGGACAAGGCTAATTCTGTATCTTCTCCCATAGTGCTTTGGCCTGCTGGGAGTGAATGGTGCTGGAAAGACAACCACATTCAAGATGCTCACTGGGGACACCTCAGTGACCTCAGGAGATGCCACAGTGGCAGGCAAGAGGTAAGTGTCCTCTTCTTGCTCCTCCCATGTCAAGGTGTCTCCCATACATCCTGGACTGTGTCCCTTTCCCGGAAGATGGAGGCTTCTCATCAGACCCCAGTATCTGAAACACTGAAAGGTCTGTTTAGAGGAATGTGTATCATGTACAGCAGGGTCCAGGAAGTTAAAAACATGGAGCCTATGGGATAGTGCAAGGTCAGCAGGGGTTTGTTCTGTTGTACTTAGGGACAATAAGAGTTAAAGCCAACTTGCCAACACCTAGCAACAGCACCATGTAGAAACCGAGTTGAATTGAGATTGATTGTTAAGCATATTCAAAGGCAGTCTTGCCACAGCCAGGTCTGGGCAGGGGTCTTGGGCCTGAAGAAAGTTTTAGGAAACACCAAATCAGTTTCATCTTTTTGGGTCATGGACTCCTTTGAATATCTGACAAAAACTTGTACCCTCTTCTCAGAAAAAAACCTTCTATTCCTGCTTCCCCTCGTTACTTCCCTTCCACATGTTTTTGCAAGTAGTTTCTGAGAGTGTGCTAAATCCTAAAGACAGGTTCAAACCACTGAGCTTTCAGTTAGCAGCTGAGGGCTTAAGCATTAACACCACCAGAGTGCCCTATTTTGGTCAGAAGAGGTAAATAGAACCCAGTTCACCCATTTCTCCCACCCTCCTCTTGTTTTGGATGGTGATTTGATTCATTCTCCCTTCTTCAGCTGTGCTTCTGCCAGTTATTCAGGATCCAAAAGTTTACCTCCATTGCAAAGCAACCATGCTCACAAATGTCTGCAAGGGACTAAAAAAAGCGCGTGCGCGCGCGTGCGCGCGCACACACACACACACACACACACACACACACACACAAAACACAAAGGAAGAAACACTGACGTGTTTTCTTAAACCTGATTGGTTCTGAAACACTGACTGTGTTTTCTTAAACCTGATTGGTTCTTTTTCTTAAACTCATCATATGAAGTGAATTTATCATAAACAAAGTTATTCTTTGAGCAACTAGGATTCAGTGTATCCTAGGCACTGAAAAATGTTTCAGAATCAGACTAGATTCCAAGTTCAGAACTCATGCAGTTCATCACTTTCTAGCAAAAGGACCCTTGCTTTGATCCCCAAATGCTGTGCCATAGAAGCATCTCCAGTCTCAGCTCAGCAGTTACCCTTCAATGGAGGAAACTCACTGATTGTTCTTTCCTCTCACAGTATTCTAACCAACATTTCTGACGTCCATCGAAATATGGGCTATTGTCCTCAGTTTGATGCAATTGATGACCTGCTCACAGGGCGCGAACATCTTTACCTTTATGCCCGGCTTCGAGGTGTGCCAGCAAAGGATATTGAGAGGGTAAAAATTGTTTGTTGTGGTCACTTGTAAATTGGTAAACTCTAATTCTGTTCTTGAGAGTGAACTCATTTGTTGTTATGTATATGCTGTTGAGCCACCTGTAACTCCTAGCGACCCTATGTACAACAGCCCTAAACCCTGCTCTATCCTGTGCCAATATAACTGTCTCTGACACACCTACCCCGACTACTACCAGTCAGTGAATCAATCTGCCTCTTGAGGGTCTTCCTCTCCTACACTGTCCCTCCACCCTCCCAACCATGTTGTCCCTCTCCAAGGATTGGTCCCTCCTTGCAACATGACCTAAGTGTCAGATGAAGCTGCAGAATCCTTGCCTCCAAGGAACAGCCTGGTTTAACCCACTCTAGGACAAACCTGTTCATTTTTTTAGCAGTCCATGGTATATTCAATACTCTTCTCCACTGCTCAAAGGCATCAATTTGACCACCGCTCAAAGGCATCAATTCTCCTTCTATCATCCCTAGTCATTGTCCAGCTGATGCATAGCAAGTGAGTGCAAAGACCATGGACTGTATCAGGTGCACCTAAGTCTCCAGAGTGATCATTGCTCATCAGTTCTTTGCAGTGGTCTCTAATAGCAGACTTTCCCATTGCAATACTTCTTTTGATTTCCTTGCTGCTGGTGCCAAGAGTGTTGACTGTGGAGCCAAGCAAACTAAAGCTGTTAATAGTCTGTCTCTTCACCATCCATCATGATGCTGCCAATTGGTCCAGTTTTCTTGAGATTGAGCCTCAGTCCATATTGAAGGCTGCATTCCTTGACCTTCTGCAACAAGCATTTCAGGTCCTCCTCAGTTTCAGCAAGCAGGTGTGTCATCTGCATAATGCAGATTGTTGATGAATCTTCCTCCAATTCTGATGCCACATTTCTCCTCATAGAGCCCAGACTCCCAGATAATCTGTTCTGCATATAGATTGATAGAACTCATTTAGAGAAGAGAAAACTGGAGCATGTTAATCCATTCATTCATTCAATGGATGCTTATCGAGTGGCTACTATGAGCCAAATAGTCTCAGAGCCAGAAGTGTAACAGTGAACAAAATGCCCACATACAAAAAAGTCTCTGCCATCATATCTAGTTTGCATTTGTTTTTTGACCCAGAAGTTTCATTTCTGGGGAATTATGCTGGAGGAACACCTCCACCAGTATAATAATGAACAAATTATTCACGATAGCATTATTTGTAAATGCAGGATATTGGAAACTCCTAAGTATTCAGATAGAGAAGATAGGTTGAATAATGCATGGTACATAGACACAGTGAAGGTCTGTGCAGCCGTAAAAAGAATGAAGATCTCCGGACCAATATGGAATGATTTGCAAGGGTAACAGTGAAACAAAGTAGTGAGAAAAAGAATCTACGTAAAATTCTACATTTTATGTAAAGAAGGAAAAATAAGAGAAAGCATGCATATGTCTGTTTATCTTTACAAATCAGAAAATAGGAAGGATGAATAAGAAAACAGTGATACAGTGATCTATAAAAGGGAAATGGAATAAAAAGGAAATATGAGGGAGTCACACATATCATATGTTTTTATACAGTTTTGACTTTGGGAAGTATGGTAATGTTCTACATGTTCTAAATAGATAATGAAATACATAAGAACAAGAAAAGAGTTAAAATGAAAATGAAAATAAAGCCTATCACTGACACAACCTGACTTAGTTTAGCCCAGCTGTATTTCAAATTAATACCATGATCACAATGAGGGGAATGATTGCTGAGAAGCGTGTCTGACTGGACAGGACACCCTCAGTATGGAATGGGTGGAGAATACAAAACCTGAAATATTTCTTATAAATTTGATTTTTCATAATAATTTAAGTGATTCTGAAGCAATATTGTTGTTGTTGTTGTGTGCCATCGAGTAGCCTGCAACTCATAGTGATCCTATGTACAATAGCTCTGAACCCTGCCCTATCCTGAGCCACTCTTACTGTCTCTAACATACCTACCCCCGTTTCCCCAGTTACTGTGTCAATCTATTTCACCCAGAGTCTTCCTCTCCTGTGCTATGCCTCCACCCTTCCAAGCATGATATCCTTCTCCAAGGACTGGTCTCTCCTGGCCATGTGCTCAAAGTATGTGAGACAGAGCTTAAAAATTCTTGCCTCCAAGGAGAAACTTAGTTTTACCCTCTCTAAGACAGACCTGTTTGTTCTCTTGGCAGTCCATGGTATGTTCAAGACTCTTCTCCAGCACCACAATTCAAAGGCATCGATTCATCTTCTGCCATACTTAGTCATTGTCCAGCTCTCTGATGCATAGCAAGTAAGACCATGGCCTAAATTAGGCAGACTTTAGTCTCTAGACTGACATCATTGCTCTTCAGCACTCTGAAGAGGTCATTGACAGCAGATTTCTGTAATGCAATTCATCCTTTGATTTTCTGACTGCTAATGCCAAGAGTATTGATTGTGGAGCCGAGCAAGCTGAAATTATTAACAACTCCAATCTCTTCTCTATCTATCATGCTGCTGCTGATTGAGCAAATGAGTAAATGCATTGATGCTATTGGAAATCAGAGTTCTCAGTGCAGAATAAAAGACATACAAACAAGGACGGGGTGTAGGCAAGAAAGAATCCTTTGGCAGTGGACTGAAATTAGAGTTCTCATTGTGCACTTATGTTGTTACGTGGCATCGAGTCATAAACAACCCATAGATGACCTTCTAGCAGGTTTTTAGAGACAGTAAATTGTCTAAGAGGAAATTACCCATCTTTCTCCTGTGGAGCAGCTGGTAGGTTCAAATCACCTTTGGGTTGACAGCACAGCGCTTATCTCTAGGCCATCAGAGCTCTCTGTGGACACATGACTTCTAAAATATTTATGTATATGTCTTTATGTATGCACATATCTATGCTCTGACATATTGAATACGTGTGTATAGACATATATAAAATCTGGACGGATGAGCCAGAAAACAGTAATTTTGTGATCTACAAAAGGGAAGTGGATAAAAAGGAAAAGAGAGGAAGAAACTATTCTGTGATGGTATCTTATTTGTATAGTTTTGACTTATGTAATGTTAATGTTCCACAGGTTCAAAATAGAAAATTACATCAATAGGAACAAAAATAGATAGATGACTAGGTATGTGCATGAGCCAGAATAGACTTTATAGCAACTAGCTATTATGTGTCTATATGCATATACATTTTCCCAGCTCTGACAAGAAACAAAAATACTCCCAATAACAATGAGCACACCTGTGGTGCCAAACCAAACCTATCGATGAGTAGACTATGACTCTTAACCGTCCTCTATCAAGTCTCCTGCAGAACACTTGGTGGATTCAAACTGCTGACCTTTTGAATAGCAGAGCAACATGTAACACACCATGCCATTGTGGTGCTCAGAAAAACGATTCCTTCAAGATCTGAGATAGCATAATTATAAAATATGCCTGAAACCTATTATTTTGCCAGAAAGTAAGGAAATGCATAAAACGTAATGGTTGTTGTTGTTATGTGTCATCGAGTCATTTGCGACTCATAGCAACCCTATGTACAACAGCCCTAAACCCTGCTCTATCCTGTGCCAATTGCACTGCGTCTGACACACCCATTCTGATTACCCCAGTCACTGAATCAATCCACCTCATAGAGGGTCTTCCCCTCCTGCGCTGTCCCTCCACCCTACCCAGCATGATGTCCCTCTCCAAGGACCTGTCTCTCCTTACAACATGTCCAAAGTATGTCAGGCGAAGCCCCAGAATCCTTGCCTCCAAGGAGTAGCTGGTTTAACCATCTCTGGGATGAATCTGTTTGTTTTCTTGGCAGTCCACGGTACATTCAATACTCTTCTCCAGCACCACAGCTCAAAGGCATCAATTCTCCTTCTATCCTCCCTAGTCATTGTCCAACTCTCTGATGCATAACAAGTGATTGCAAAGACCATGGCCTTTTTCAGGCACACCTTAGTCTCCAGAGAGACACCGTTGCTCTTGAGTACTTTAGAGAGGTCCCTGACAGCAGACTTTCCCATTGCAATACGTTTTTTTTATTTCCTGACTGCTGGTGCCAAGAGTGTTGACCATGGAGCTGAGCAAACTGAAGCTGTGAACAATCTCAATCTCTTTGCCATCCATGCTGATGCTACCACTTGGTCCAGTGGTGATAATCTTTGTCTTTTTGATATTGAGCCTCAGTCCATACTGAAGGCTGCAGTCCTTGACCCTCTGCAGCAAGTGCATGAGGTCCTCATCAGTTTCAGCAAGCAGGGTTGTGTCATCTGCATAACGCAGATTGTTAATAGATCTTCCACCAATCCTGATGCCACACTTCTCCTCATAGAGCCCAGCCTCTTGGATAATCTGCTCTGCATACATGTTGAAAAGGTATGGAGATAGGACACATCCCTGGCGTACACCCTTCCCAGTTTTGAACCATGCAGTGTTTCCTTGCTCTGTTCTGATGACTGCCTCTTGGTCCAAGTATAGGTTTCACATTAGCACAATTAAATGTTCTGGGATTCCCATTCTTCTCAGAGTCAGCCACAGTTTGTTATGATCCACACAGTCAAATGCCTTTGCATAATCAATGAAACACAGATAGACATTCTTCTAGTACTCCCTGCTTTCAGCTAAGATCCATCTAACATCAGCTCCAATATCCCTAGTACCACTACCCCTTCTAAACCCAGTCTGGACTTCCGGCAGTTCTCTGCTGATGTACTGTTCCAGTCGTTTTTGGATAATCTTCAGTAGAATCTTGCTTGCATGTGAAATCAATAATATTGTTCTGTAGTTTCCACACTCTGTTGGGTCACCCTTTTTTGGAATAGGAACAAATATAGATCTCTTCCAGTCAGTTGGCCAAGTGGTTGTTCTCCAGATTTCTTGGCACAACTTGGTGAGCACATCCAGGGCAGCATCTGTTAGCTGAAATACGTCAATTGGTATACCATCTATTCCAGGGGCCTTATTCTTTGCTATTTCCTTCAAAGCAACTTGAACTTCTTTCCTCACCAT